ATATATATATATATATATATATCAATTTCTTCAAAATTATAGGACAGGGAAAAGGAAAATGACTTGCTCCCACTTCACAACAACGGACTGTTAATGGAATAATAACACAATTTGGGTAGTAACTGTTAACATCAAAATATTTAACCAGAAATTGAAATGTACAAAAAATCAAAGTCAAATAATATTTTAAGATGTGACCAAACCCAAAGTCAAATTACAGCTTTAACAATAATGTTATAAAAATATATTTTTCCAATTTCTAATACAAATGAAAGTGAAACATGTAATTGGTGTTTGTATTTGACCTAACTACATACGCTCATATATAAACCCATATATTTATTTTTTGACTTCATGTATATTCATATGAAATTATTTTTCCGATTGGACCCATCAACACAAACTTAAGTTACTAGATTCATTTTTTAATTAGGTTGACTATTTTTGTCTGAAATTGGTATATTTGCAAAATATTTTCTATTGAAATATTTATTCACATCTTCAGTAATTAAAATTTTAGTTTTGTTTCTTAAAAATACATTAACAAACTAATCTGTGCTTAATTTTATCTAAAAACGAATACAAATTAAGAATGTTTTCCGATAACTAAAAACAGTAAAGAAAACTCATCTATGTTTTTATTGATTTTATGAGTTTTAAAGACATCTTAAGAGAATTTGACCTTCCATTATAATTTTAAGGGGTTTTAGACTTTCTCCTTAACAAAATATAAGAATGATAAACCTCAGACAAAACTGTAACAAAAAAAAAAATAGATAACGAAATTAACGAGAGAGAAACAAATTTGATTTTTTATATCTTATAAATATAAAAAAGATTTTAAAATTTTATACATATGTTTTGATTTCATAAATGTTTGATCTAAGATGTTTAAAATTATTGGTTTTTTTCACCATGAGAAAACAAATAAATTGAAAGAATTTAGATCTAGAATTTTAAAAGGGAATTACTATTTAAAAAATTGTAAATAGTTCATTTATTTATAAATAAAACAATAAAGTCCCAAGAATATTCCATGCAATAACCAATCATTTATCGTTTCTTTTACTAAATATATAGCAATTTTACACATATGGCTCCCTGAGATTTTCAGAAAATTCAACAAAGATAGTTTTCTCTTCTAAACACTAGAGGTGGCCAAAAATATCAAATACACAAAATATACACACAAAAAAAAAAATCAGACATTTGAGTTATATGAGTCGAATTTGAATAATGCACATTAGTAATATAATCTACACCTGATTTGGTTTGATTTTGATATTTCTAGTTTATTTTGGTTAGGGTTAACTCATTGTTTTCATGAATTAAAAAAAATAAAAAGAGAAAATATCATATAAGTACCCAATTTTGTAAAATATGCCAAATAAGTATTTAAATTTTTAATTTGATCTAATTAATATCTAATATGTTAAAATATTTCAAATTGATATATCAAATGTTAAAATATTCTAAATTGATACATTATCACGAAATCGATGACAATTACCAATCTTGATCTTTACGTCAATTCCCGACTTCAAAAACAAATTGTAGGTTATAAATTGATATCAATTTCTTAAGTTAGGATATGAATTTGGAATATTTTAATATTTGAATTCTTAGTTTAAAATATTTTAATAATTAAGTTATCAATTAGATCAAGTTATAAGTTTAAGTATTTATTTGGTATATTTCGTAAAGTTAAAATGCTTATATGAGATTTTCCCAAAACAATTGTCGTGACTAAACCAAACCAAAAACTCTAACGCTACTTATAATAGGGCTTCATTATACGTGATCAACCCTACGATAATATACATGATGTTCATTTTGTAATAGTGTATGTAAAATTAATAAGATTCCAATCTATTTACTTGCAATTTCTTTTATGTTAAATCTTAATCCATATATGCATAAATATGCATTCCATCATTGAAATATAGTATCACATAATATATATTTTTTTAAATGACTCCTTTGGACATGAGATATAGACGACTCTTCATTGTTAAGACAAGACTTTGATTGAAGCATAAATCGAACGGACAAAATCGTTATTGTTACTATAATAGTATGCTTCTCCAATTTGATTTGATTTTCCAAATCGAACTAAATATCCTTTTTTTTAATCATATCTTTTTTAAATAATGTCCATTATTAAATAACGTGGGTCGTATCTTTTTTTTGTCCGATATGAATCAATGCACCAAACTTAGAACCCTAATTTTTATAAATTTAACGACCAAGGCCGACGTTAGCAAATGTTTTCATAATATTATTTTAATTCCTAACTGTAATATCATATATTTAAGGATAATCCGATGGGGAACCATATTGAAACAACTAGTATTA